TATAAAACCACCTGAGTGACTTAGTGTCGGCAACGCAGGCGATGTAGGGGGAAAACGACACATAGGGATTTAGAGCTGCGTCAACAGGGCAGTAGAGAAAGGGAGCAAGTCTTTCATCAGCCAAAATGGAGAAGTGTCAGCTGGAGTCAACTGCCTACTAAATACAACTTTTCATTTGCACCTTCTTAGGCAAAATGAGGATACTTTTAAAAACACCATGAATACAAAATTTTCACTCCAGGTTTTAACAAAAGGTTTTGCTCAGAAAACACACAATTCATGTCAGGCAGTAAACAGCACAAACAATCGTTTATTTCAATAATGCAGTTGTTCATTTCTAAAAAGAGTGTAATTATAACACTGAACAGTCAGTGTTCACGGCTCTGTCCTCCTGTTTCGGGACACAAGACAGTTACATCACATTGATGTTGGAGAAAGTGAATTAGGCACATTGAAAACAAGCGGTTTCGCTGCTCTTACAGATTGTAGCTAAGTTCCTTCCCTTCTTATTGCTGAAAGTTTATCCTCTAATAAGTAATTCCCAAGACATCTTGCAATAGGAAGCATTCATGAATGAATGCATTAATAAATGTTTCCCATTGCAGGGCCCATAGGGAATTCTTTATAATACTTGTAAGGAGTTTACAGACATTCATTAGTTACATAAAAAACCCCAAAATTTGCTTTTTCTGAACATACTACTCTGCCTCTTTTCAAAATATCACAGCAGACAACTAAACGCTAGCACAAAACAGAGCCAATGACCCTGTATGTACTCACCATGTACCACATGCTTGGCCACTTGGGATCATTGAAATAAGTGGATTGGGTACCACCAGGTTTATAATCCCTCTTTATCCTTCTTTTAACCACCTGCTGTTGTATCCACTCCACCTGCCAACCAGGAAAACATATGGTAAATGTTAGGGTTCCATGGAGATTATCAAGAAATGTGTGAAATCTTGGGAAGTTTCCCATTACCATAGTCCAAGACATATTTCATGTTAGAGAGTTCATTTTGGCAGTGGGAACGCACAGCTCACCTTGGCATACTGTTCACTAAGGAATACGTCCAATTTAGTTAGTGCTACAAATCTCCCTGAACTACTTATATACCCTGCTAGAAGAACCTCATTGGTTATTATCTTTTGAATGCCATTATTTCATTATTTTTCACTATTAAGACTAGTGCTTTTTTCAAATTTATAAACTCAGTTACTTTTATAAAACATAACAGTCTATTACAATGACAAATTCATTCATTTTCTGACAGGGTGGGGTTTTTTTCTTTTTCTTTTTTTTTTAAATTTTTATTTGGTTTTTGTTTTGCTTTCTTTTTTTAATTTAATTTAATAACATTCAGAAAAATATTCAAACCTTTTGGTTAACCAATATCTAAATCACCTTCACCACTTAGAGTGAAAAAACAAAATTAAACTGTATTTTTAGCAAAGTGACTCTTTTTCAAGATTCTCTCAGCTAGGCATCCTGGGACTTTATCTTATCATAAGTTCTCCCCAGGGAGAAACAGCTGGGTACTGAGCAACAAGTCAAATTACAACAACAACAACAAAAAAGAGTTTGAAACAGGAAAATAAATGTAAGGGTTAAAAATCTGATTCTGAAAGTTATATTCTTGTCTGTCTGACACCTCTTCAAAGATTCATGACACATCCAGAAAGTGCGACACCAAAAGTGATATCAACCTTAGAGAAGACAGGACTCTGCAGTCATTCTGCATTAGCTATTCTAAATGGGAGCTAGTTTCTATAAATGTAAATAATATAAATTACCCACAGAGAAACACAAGTTATATTTACACACATCTAGCTTTCTGACAGCTCATATTTCTGCTGAATTGTTTCATGGGATATAACTATAAAAATTCAATTCACCTCTCCCCAAGCAAGACAGCCATTTCCTACTAGTAGTCAACTCTGCACCTTTTATTTGTGCTGTTTATGAATAGCTGTGTATGCACACAAACATACAAATACACCAAAGAAGTTCACTTCCAGCTCACGTATTTCTTTGCCACTTGTCAGAGATGGTATTAATGCTTCCCCTTAGCAGGCTAATTTCTCTACTGTACATCCACAAGTCAGCTTCAAATCCTTAGACAGACATAGGTTCATTGACATTAACAAAAATTTTGCTTGAAATCCATACCACGCCTACCTTTGCCACCTCTACCATACCACTCTGGCCTCTACTTCTTGGCCACATGAAAGTACAGGAAGACATCCCTGCATACGGCATGAGAGGATTCCTAGGACATTCCTCATAGAGGTTGGTGAGGTTTCATGACTTTCTTTGTAAAGAAGAAACTAATTTTTCCCCTTCCCGAGAATTAACTTTAGGGTCAAGAGTATTCTTTTAGAGGAGAAATTATGCAGTTTATGAATACTATCAGGTGGAGTTCACACTGAAATCCATTTCTCTGTTAAATCTTCTGGCAAGAATCATAGATCCCTTTCCACTTCTAAGAGAACTGAGAAACTGGATAGTGTGCCTTTCTCTCCTGGTTACTGTGCCCCTCTTTCAGCTCAGGCTGAAATCCATCTTGGAGGATGCCCTCTCAAGAAGCTGAGAGCTGACTGCCCCCTTCAGATCTTACTCGATCCAGAGCGAGGAGCAGGAGCTAATCCGTCTTAGGCACCATTTGATGTAACAAAGTCTGGAGGCCTGTGAGATGCACAGAAAGTATCTGGGCAAAGGCCAAGGGAGGGAGAGCCAAAAGGCTTTGGTAAGCACTAAGCGTTACAGCTGCTTTGAACTGGGATCGACAACCCTCTCAACTACATCTCACCTCCACGAAAAAGGCTGATTTATAACCGACTTACAATGAACCCTACTTCCCTGTCACCTGCTGCTATATATGCTTTCTTTTTCAGACCCTCACAACATTAGCTTGTTTTTCTTCAATATTTCTTTCCTTCTAGTTAGCCCAGACTTCCCAATATATCTGAAGCCAACTGTTATTATTATTTAGCAATCAGTAACAACAAAGCTTCAACAGGTCTGAATAAGCAACCATGGTTTTCAGGGTTTATACAGATCTACCTTCCAAGCTGTATTATGAGATTTGGGTCTCAGTGCTAGAAACAATTTCAGCTGAGTGAGGGGTCTCAGGCTTCTTTGCTGCAAGAGTATTTACTGTCATCTTCACTTATTCTTAGCTGCAGGAATTAATCACATGAGCATGCTACCATGTCAAGGAAGTTGTTTAAGTCGACAAATTTCAACACTGCACAGGCCAAGAGCACACAGAGCCACCATGCAATGACCTTAAAGGTCTTTTCCAACCAAATGATTCTATCATTCTATGCCATGCATGGTAAACTCATTACGAAAACTCAGTTGCATCTTGAGTCTTCACGGAGGAGTTAAAAATGCCTACCACCAACGCAATCTGAGGATCTGATAGTGTCGTCAAAGTATCCACAAAGAAAAAACAATGATAGACTCAGCAGAAGAGGATTAAACTTTCTGCCACTGCTACTCTGATTTAGATGCATAAACATTAATGGAAGAAGGTAGTCACCAACACTAATATTGCCTAGAGGAGCTGTAAATCCCAGGGCATCTAATTTGGCATTAGGGACTCCAGTGCATCAAGGTTCCTATAAGAACTACCATTAGGAACTATGAGGAATTTTTGAAAAACACCTTTATTTTATAAATGGGGCCAGAGGAGTGTAAAATATTCAGGGAGCCCCCGCAACACACAAGTTTAAGAAGAACCTCAACAACGCAATGCCATTTCTATACGGATAAATGAAAGAGGCTTTCCTGACAAGACAAATTGCAAAACTCTTTACTATTCACTGTGCAAATATGTTGTCCCCATTTATTTACTGCCTATTCAGCTGAAAATACCTGCTGACCATTACAAAGACTGAAACATAAAGGCAGCATAGTACTTGTGGAGACTGATACATGCATACACTGATGCCTCAAAACCCCACCCAACTGATTTATTTTCTGTTTCCTTTATTCCAGACAACATTATCGAGAACATTTATCAGACAGTTCTTCAGTCCAAGCAATCATAAACACTGTCTCACTGGAACAAAAGTTTCAGTTTATTTGAACAATAATTTAACACATAAAGAATTTTGTATACATGTGGGTATAAATGTACATGCATACATTTGTACAAGAGCTTGTATCAACTGAGTTAATTTGTAAGCCTGTAGTATAGCACGTGGTTAGATTTTAGTGAGGTATGGATAAATTTTTTTCTGTATCTTGTCTACTGCCTTTTAACAAAAAAAGTAAGTGACTGTACTTCAGATTATGTATCTGTTGCAGGGCCTGCCCCTGTTACATGCTGGATGTTGTCCATAATTCCCATTTCCTCAACTCCTAGCAAAGTTAAGGAAAACATATGAAAGAGTAATTTTGCAGAAGGGCTGTGCAGTTTCCATGATCAGACCCAAAGCCAGAAAAAGAAACTTCTTGTCTTCCCATAAGACCTAATGACAACTTTATGTATGCATAAAATTACTGTAAGTAAAATAGCCATTTGATTTCATACATATACAGAGCAGGGTAAATGGCATGCTTGCCTGAGCATGCATATGGGAAGATAGTGCACGTAGCTCTCTAAAGATGGAATAGCATAGTATAGCATAGAATAGAATAGAATGGACTATTTCAGTTGCAAGGGACTTGCAACAATCATCTATTCCAACTGCCTGAACACTCCAGGGCTCACCAAAAGTTAAAACATGTTATTAAGGGTATTGCCCAAATGCCTCTTGAACACCGACAGCCACAGGGCATTGACTGCCTCTCCGGGAAGGAACAGGTTCCAGTGTTTGACCACCCTTTAAGTAAAGAAATGCTTCCTCATGTCCAGTCCTAAACCTCCTCTGGTGCAGCTTTGAACCACTCCCATGTGTCCTATCACTGGATCCCAGGGAGAAGAGCTCAGCACCTCCCTCTTCTCTCCTCCACAGGAAGCTGTGGAGAGCAATGAGGAGACCCCTCAGCCTCCTCTTCTCCAAGCTAGACAAACCTGGTGTAAAACAGGACTCTAAGCACTACAGATATCCACATCAGTGAAAGGGGGAAGTCAAAATGACCATTCCCAGTCAGTGACTGTGCACTGCTATGAGGGAGATGGTACAGGATGCTAGACACAGTAACCTAAAATGTAACAACATGCCTGATCGTGGTCCTGATTATAGCCTCGTCTGGAAGATTTTTAGTAAACACCTTGTCTGCTTACTAATTGTTTTTATTTTGAGGATGTACTGATACAGCGATCTAGAATATAATTAAAAACATCACAGGAAGACAATTTTCTCATCTGAGAAGTCACCGCATAAAAGTTAGTTTACAGAAAATACCATTGCTATATAAATAGAATAGCTTACTCCACTGAACCATACAGTTTGGGTTTCTTCTCTAATAAGTGAACAGAAAAACTTGCCAGTAGTTCTCGGTTTAAGTTAAATTGTACAATCACTGGTTTATATTAATGAATGCAAGGTCAAGACTGAGCAGTTATTTTAGTATTCTGACATATATTTCCTTTGAGTATTTTATGGGCATTCATCCACGTGTCACTGTCAAATGCCTGGTATATTTCGGATTTGTTTGATTCTGTATGAAAAGAGCTCATTTGTATAAAAATATTTTCTTTTAAAAAGCGTCCACACTTCCTAACCCAAAGGCCTTGAAGGAAAATCTCTGGAGTAATTGATTATACAGATTCCTGTTTCTTACCAAAAGGAGACTCTATGCAAACAATGAGGTGCATTTTAACATTTCCATAAAGTCACACTTACTGAGGGGGAACAGTGCACATTTTCCCATCGACTTCAGCTTTGAAAGTTCCATTTCCTGAATGTCTAGAAATCAAAGCCAAGCCAGATTGGAGACCA